ACAGACATGAAGGAAGAAGGTTTAAATTGTTACAATTCAGATAAAGCCTGAAACATGTTATAACCGTAGCGACTTATGAGACATCCTAAAAAATAAGAGCACAAAAGAGGAAAGGTCTAATTATTCCGATGGGTTTCATGCAAATAGGTGTAATCAAAAAACTAAATGAAATACATTTTGTCGCGCAAATAATAGCAGTGCCCTGCGAGAGAACGCATTCACTCGCCGCCAGTCCCTACGCAGGCCAAAGGATTTGTAGTAAATGGTGTTCTTTCTTTGTACTATCCTGCAGTTCTGTTTTCCTTGGCATACTTTTATCAAAGAAATTCAGGAAAAATTCAGGAACTATTGACTTACATCATCACTCATCATGGGTTGGGAGGGTTCAGTGGGCTCATAAATGGACTGATAGCGGCTGCCATCGGCGCCCTTATTATGCTTATGTCCGAGCTCACTGCAAAAAGCTATGTAAAGAGGACATGTAAGTTTGTCCTCTCAATCGCGACATTTACATTTACATTTACATGAAATACGTTATAATTTGAAACTGTGGGGATACCTTGAATGATGCACGGAGGCGAAATAATCGTTGTGTGTGTCTATCAAGTGGGGTCGATTGGTTATGGGCTGATTAAAAAAGGATGTTCAAGTTAACACAAAGCCTAATTCAGCAGCAAATTTTTAGTTATTTAGTGGGGATAGATATAATTAGGGGTAAAAAATGATAGCCAAGACAATATTCATGGTAAACTGAAGTTTAATAGTGAAATATTATTTCCCAAAACAGATGTGCAGATAATTTATAAGACCGTATAAATCACCGGAAGATTATTTTTCGCTGGCGTTACCAGAACCGCAGACGTCTTTTACAATCCGAACTGATATTTTCCAAACAAAAACTATAGATATACTTTTTTGCTTGATCAGTGGGGACATCCAGCATAGCATTTTGCGAAAGGTTAGTTATTTATTTAAAAAAAAAAAACGAAACGGCTGAAAAAATTAAAACTAGCCTGTACACAGACGTTGTTTTCTTTTTCTTTCCGTTCTTTTCGAGAACATCGGCGAGCGAGAACGAGCGCGGAGCGCGAGAAAGAAAACTAAAGAATTTTCTCCTTCCCCACCCCTAACTCCTTCCGCTGGCGGTCAGCAAATCCCCCGCGGTTTTGGTTTTTTATCACGCGCGCTGGATGGACTTTGAAGGGAAAATAGAGGGTCTGTGAACAGGCTAGAACAAAACGAAACATATTAAAGGTTTTTACTGCGGTATCATGCAGTCAGTGAGCATAAATTTATTGTTAAACATACCAGTTGTAGAGCGATAGATATACTTATCTTAAACAAATCATTATTTGCCAGCCTGTTTGAAATATGGTAAAAGCAAAGTTTTTTTGCCCTATATCTAATAATCTCATCGTGTTCAATACAGGAGAGCGCGAGTTAAGGACAATCTATCGGAAGATTATTCTTTGAGGCGTCTGCGTTGGATGTTACTCCGGCAGTTTACAAGCCTAACTGATATTTCGCAAAGTCTTTTTTTCCGTTTTGTCTCATCCAGCAAACTGCATTTTGTGAAACGTTAGTTGCACACAAGAAGAAAACAAAATGCAACTTGACAAAAAGGTTTTAATTACGGTATGACAGAGTTGCGCATTCATTTAAGAACCGAATATTTTTAAACCTTGTCCCGACTTAACCACTGTTTATGACATTCATAGGACCTTTTGACCTATTCCGTGATGTTGTACAGGGACACCCAACGGTTGAATCATTGTGTGTAAAAAAACGATAATTCGAAGAAGCACAGTATAATTGTCTGGAAATTTCTAAAGCTCGAGAAAAAAATTCCTCGATGAAAAATGTTCGATTCATCTCAATTTTCGACACTTTTTTTCCAATAATTTTTCTACGTTTTTCTGAAGTCGGTTTTTCACCTTTCCGTGACTTCCCAGGTTTGATACATGTAATCATTCGTAAAAAAGGACTTTAAACCAAAATTTTTGGCTTCGTAATACTAACGGAAAGAGGTATCGCAAAATGTTGAGTTTTCAGTAAAAGATTAACTAGCATCAAAGATTTTTGGAAGAGTAATAAGAAGGAGGTATTAAATTCGCATAGACTAAAGGAGATCTAGAATTACAAAAGAGTTAAAAATTTTATAGTGCTTCTTTGAAAGCATTTGCAAATCTTTACTGAAAAACAATCTAAAAACTGATATCCTAACCGCAGCGTTGCGTTCAATGATATTATATACCCACACATAAAAGCTTGTAATGTTTAAATACAGGGATAAGCCGAGCTGAAAGCGACTTACGTCCTTTTCATATTTTCATATGAGAAATTTTAGTTCCGTTAACCGAGTGAAATTGATCGTATAGTTTGCATTAACGCAGAAAACTATGATATTTTCCTAGCAGTAGTTCTAAAAGTTCCTTGACCATCAAGAGTAAGCTGTTCCCTTTTTATGATAACCTTCATAGCTTACAAAACAGGAAAACACCATTAAACTTCCTTTGTTTCAGCAGAGACGCATGCAGAATAAAAACTAATTAAACCGTTTAATTTTTGTCGCAACAACCGATACTGTCGATCAGCGTCCTAATGTATCTCTATTAGCGATCTTTGCGGAACTAACATCAACCTTCTTTGTCCACGTTCTTAACTGAAATTTTTTTTTCAAGTTCTTCTGAAAGGTATAGACAAGCAACAGAGAGAAACAGGGAATTAAAAGTGTGAAGCGAAAAAGTAGCAAGCCATGATATCATCCCAGTGCATCACCTGGTTCGCTGTAGTCCTTACCATGTCTGTTGCTATAAGTAACAGTGAACCTTACCTATTAATAGTTCTTTTTATTAAAAAAACGCAGTCTTCCCACTCGTGCCAAATTGTACCTAGTCATAAAGCTGACCATAGTTGATATGTTTGTCGGAGGATTTTCTCACTCTTCTACGTATACCCTACTTATGCGACATTGTGAAATTTCTGCACTTTACCCTGGAACTGACATTAACAACTGGCTTTCTCTTCCTCTGGTTTCCTCGGACCTCTCTTACAAACATTGTAGTAATTTCATTCGATCGGATGCATGCAACAATTCGTCCCTATACAGCTCTTTTGCATCGCCTCATTATAAAGTGAGTCTACGGGGTAACAATTGCTGCTTTTGTCTGGGTTTTACCTGCAATGTTTATTATACTAATCCTTAAGAATCGAATGTTTAACCAAAGTCCTATATTTAGCACATCTAGTGGACCTACAGTCTTTTCATGTGGTAGCTTGGGGCACCCAACGACTGGTTTCTGTGAAATAGCTGTTCGAAGAAGCACATATTATCTAGAGATTTCTATAGCTCGAAAAAAGTTAAAAATTCATGGATGAATGTATCATTCATCTCAGTTTTTCGAAGTTTTCAGTCTATTAACTTCTCTGATTGAAGTTGGGAATGGGATTTTCACTTTTCACTTGTCTTCCCATATTTGGACATCATTCACAAAAATGGACTACTTATAATCAATTTTGGGCTTTAAAATCAGGAACGGAAAGATGTACATCGGAAAATGTTGAGTTTTCTGTATATTTAATAGCATCAAAGATTTTCGAAAAAGTACTACCGTGTTAATAAATTCGCATCGGCTAAAGAAGCCCAAGGATGACCAAACAGATACAAATTTTATAGGATTTCATAGAACGGGTTGTAGAGCGATGTTTCCCTCCTGCTCACTATAATATATACTTACCTAAAAATACTTGCAATGGAAAATGTTAAAATACAAGGATTGTCCAAGCTAACCCGCGACTTAAGGCCCTCTTCAGTCATATTTTCATGGAAATTTCAGCTCCTTTAACCGAGTGAAATTGTTCACCGCTGACTAACAGTTTGCATGAAACATTTAATTTTTTCCGGTCTCACTATGGACATTCGATTGTCTTAGAAGGTTTAATTGAAATGATATGAGGGATAGTCACATTTTCATTTTGGTGATCAATTACTCCCTATATACCAAGCAGACCTTCAATATTTTTAAAGAGCGAAATAAAAATGTTAAAAAAGTATTAATGTAATAGATTCAAATACAATTTTAGCCACAGTTAGATTGTTAGTTAACTAGTTATTTAGTAGTACCCTTTGCATTTGACCACGAACATTTTTTACTCCTGATGTAATAACATAATGTTTTAAGCTGTATACATCTAGCCGGATTTTTGAAAACGTTATCGTCAAATGGACCTTTTCCGTCCAACAAATTTTTTCGGCCAAAAACTATATCCAGTAGCTCATTATAAAAACTAAGAGTGCAACCATTGCTTTTTATTCTTCTCCTCCTTTCCTGATCTCCTCCGTCGCTCTTTCTTTTTCTCCTTTCCTTTTCCTTCGTTACTGTGATTTTGGAGCCGTTCTCGGGCTTAAGAAACCTGACTTTTGACGCCTTTTCAGTCAAATGACTGCAAATTTCGTTAGGTTGGTTTCCCAAAAATCAGTTAGATATACTATAATATATTTTATCAGCAGATGTAGAGCTATTTTGTTTGGAAATGCTGTAAATAAACCACCACCATAATAATAATAATAATAGTAATAATATTTATTATTATTATACTCAGGTGAACGAGCGCTGACGTTAATTAGTTTTAAAAATATTCAGCTAAAACGACTCGAATTTAATGCCCTCAGCTTTTAGTCAACCAATTTATCCTAATCTCCCCTCAAACGCCAGTGATATTTTTTCCACAGGTGAAAACAAGGGTGTTTACTTCAGCTTTTGCGAAGGCAATTTGAAAAACTGTAAGTTAAAGGTGAGCTTCCTAATTCGTCGAATTATTATTCATGTATCTTCATTACTGATCTTTGAAAAACAGACGTCAACCTTGTTTGTTCACTTCCTACTTTTCTTTTCTAAGTAATCAAACTTTATTCAATTCAAATTCTTTCTAAAGGTAGACGAACAACAGAAGAGAACGGGTAAAAGTGTGAAGCGAAAAGGAGTAAAAGAAAACAAGTCATGCCATTATCTTCATCCGAGTGCATCACCTGGTTTGCGGTAACCCTGACCGTGTGTGCTGCTATAGTAACAGTGAACCTTCTATCAATCATTCTTTTTATAAAAAACCGCAGTCTTCGCACTCGTGCCATGTACCTAGTTATAAGCCTGACCATAGCTGATATGTTTGTCGGAGGATTTTCTCACTTTAATTTATTTCGACACCTCTCACGTCTGTCATGCGACATTGTGAAAATGAACTTAAGCCTGGAACTGAAAGTGATAATTTACTTTCTCTTCTCCTGCTTTCCTCTGACCTCTCTAACAAACATTGCAGTCATTTCATTAGATCGGATGCATGCAACAGTTCGTCCCTTCAGGCATCGCCTCATCAAAAAGTGGGTCTACGGGGTAACAATTGCTGGTGTCTGGGTTTTAGCTGCAATGGTATCAACTGTCATTTTAATACTTCAGCTATATGGGAAGGAACGGTCGTATATATATAGTTTTTTCTTATTGTCATCATACTGTTGTTTGTGTCTATTTGTTATCTGTGTTTCTTACTCTTCCATTGTTGTTAAATTTTTGTGTGGAGCGCATCCTCAGCACCGTGGAGCAGCCAACAGACAAAGGAAACTAACCGTAACATTATTCATAATGACTATCGTATCCTTATTGATGTGGCTACCACATGCGGTTCTTACTTTTCGTTCTATTAAATCTAGTATCATGAAATTCCTTTCTTCCCAGGAATTAGAACGTTTATACTTGTATATAACCATTCTATATTTTATGAACTCACTTGTTAATCCCATCGTTTACACAATCAGAATGCCAGAGTTTAGGAAAGCTCTCCTGCTGTTATTTAAACGTCAACGAAGACAAAATGCCCAAGATATTCCTCTTCATGCGCTTTAATGTACTTTGTTTAACACTTGGAGGCCAACTTATGATTTCGTCATCTTCATAAAAAACAAAACAAACAGTAGTTGATTGTATACTATTTTTGCGACCTTTAAAGTTCGATAAAAAGGCCGTAAATAAATGTTGTGGTGCAATTTTTTCCTTGGTTCAAATGCTTTTTTCCTTTGTTTTTAACTCTGATTCTCAATCGTACATAACTATACCGCAACACAAAGGAAAACAAAATCTAAACCATTGATGAGTTGAACCACAGTATTTCGTCAAATACTTCAACTAAATATAGAGCCGGTTAGTAGTCTCGTTTATCTTTTCGTTACGTTTAGAGACTCTTTAGAATGCTTCCAAAAATATGAAAAGATATCCTTTACATTTCCTTGTTTTAGAGTTAGTCATTATGATTGTGGTCGAAAAACATGAAATATATCCATTATGTACATTTAATAAGCGCAGAAGTTGTTTAGTTCTTAATTTGTTATTTCACAACGTAATATCTACTTTAATAATGCGACTTGTTTTGAAGGTAAAATACCTCTGTTAGTAAAATCAGCATTTTAAGACACTTCAATAAAGTTGCTATTTATATAAACAGGATTTCTTTACGTTCTTATCTGTGTCTGGAATATCACAGGGAATGGGCCGGAAAAATGCTGAAATGGGAAAAGCATACTTCAGTGTCCTAAAGATGGGAAAAGTCAGAAGATTGTTAAAAGTGTCTCTTTTTTTCACGCCAATTTTAGGAGAGGATTATACTGAATGTTGTTTTTCCTCGTTGTGTGGTTAAGGACATTTGTATACAGCTTGCCAGATACATTCAAGACTCTTTCTGCCACTATTGTTGAACATTTCCGAGTCTTTTTTTGAGAGATAATAGATAGCCAAATCTGGGAAGGGAAGTCAATTGAAAAACTTTGAAAATCATAGATGAATGAAGAGTCATCAAAACTATTTAGCCTTTCTCGAGAAACAGAAATTTGTAAAGAAGAGTTTTGCTTCTTTAAACATATATTTTACATCAGAAAACTTTCCCCTGATAAATGAGGATGGAGACCTATCAAATAGTCTGGATTGAATATTGTCGTCACTTTAAACTAAATCCAGTAAATCCATCTTGTCAGTTCGTGTGCTTAAACTGCGCCATCATTGGTGAAAGGTTCTTAGACGCTCAAACATTGGAGCGAACGTTTCCTCAGAAGGAAGAATAGTGATCCTACCAAGAAAGATTAAAACATGAAACCGTTTAAAGTTATTTCCTTCGTATGGATAGTGGGTCTGAAAAATCAAAACGTTTTGGTCCAATTTCATCACACTTTCACACGCTGACAGAACGTCACTTTTACAGACAAGTCGCTTTTAGGACGCCTTTTCCCACGTAAGTTTAAGCTCTGGTCCATACCGTATAATCCCGGTTGTAATCCCTTCTATTTGTAAACACCAACTTTATCCCAGTTGCAGGCCCTCCACTAAGCCCCCATCACCCCTGCTATGGGCCAATCTGTGTATACCCTTATTGCGTTCGTCAGAACGCATCCTAATTTGGTGTTCCTGTGGCACAAAGGCAGAATTTTGGGGGGTTGGGGGGAAAGAGGCGTCTTTTCCAATTTAAAGGTGCAGTCAATCTAATCAATCTAAATATATAAGACAAGCCTGTGAAAACCTTGTGACACAAGGGCGCAAATGATATCACAGAGAGGTTTTTAAAATCATCAAAATTCCGACCTGAAGTTGATGGCCCTTGTTAATTCAAATCTAATTACCTGTAGTAACAGTTGTTACCGCTGCCTTTCATATAAAAAACGTGGCCAGGAATCATTGGTTTCCCTAATACTTATCCACTGGATAGAGATTTATCACGTGGATAACGCTATCCATCTTTTGAAAAACCGGGTCTGAATTCCGAATTTCAAACCCCAGAACTGATTCCAGATCAGTCTACAAGAAAAGAATTCCCAGGTTCCGGAATCTGGATTACCGTACACTTAGGATATCCATTACTGACAGTATTCTGCAGTGTGGCAATAGAGATCAAGGCCGGAAACAGGACATGATACCTTGGCTGCCTCGAAACCTTTTAGTTTGGAATTGTTATCCGCGGAAACGCATACATTGCACCTGCCACCTCGTTACACTTAACATTTTCCATTGAGTTAAAAACCTTCCTTGTCATCTTTGCTTTCTTCTTGTAGGAATCTTTGATGGATGTTACTTCCTGTACAACGAGTTGAGCAAAAAAAAAATAATAATGCATTACGCATAGATATGAAAAGATTGGAGATTCCCTTTTATAATTTCCCTAGTACGTCGCACTTGAAGATCATTTTCTATGCATTTAAGAAGACTGCCAAATATTTCGGGAATAAATCGGAATTTTTTTGTTTTGGAGGCAAGGTCACAAATGTTTGGGTGACAATACAATACAATACAATACAATTCAATAAAATGCAAAGCAAAGCAATGCAATGCAATACAATACAATGCTATAACTTTTATTTAACGCGGTCAAATCTGCTTAGCTATATAGCTACTTTACAGACATGAAGGAAGAAGGTTTAAATTGTTACAATTCAGAGATAAAGCCTGAATAATGTTATAACCGTAGCGGCTTATGAGACATGCTGAAAAATAAGAGCACAAAACAGGAAAGGTCTAATTATTCCAATGGAATTCATGCATATAGTGTAATCAAAAAACTAAAAGAAATTAATACATTTTGGCGCGCAAATAATAGCGGTGCCCTGGGAAGAGGAACTCATTCACTCGCCGCCAGTCCCTACGCAGGCCAAAGGATCTGTAGTTAAATTGTGTTTTCTTTTGTACTATATTACACTTCGAATTCTGTTTTACTTGGCATAATTTTATCAAAAAAGTTCAGGAAAAAATTCAGGAACTATCTATATGAAATAAGCTATAAATTGAAACTGTAAGGACACGTAGAGAAACTACAGCTTGTGTCCTGCTTTGCTTGAATGATGCACGGACGCGAAATAATCGTTGTGTGTGTCCATCAAATAGGGTCGATTGGTTGTGGGCTGATTAAAACAAGGAAGTTCAAGTTAACAAAAAGCATAATTCAGCAGCAAATTGTTAGTTATTTAGTGGGGGTAGATACATTTAGGGGTGAAAAATGATGGCCAAGACAATTATTCATGGTAATTACTGAAGCTTTAATAGTGAAATATTATTTCCCAAAACAGATGTGCGGATAGTTTATAAGAACGTATAAATCGAGGAAAGATTATTTTTCGCTGGAGTTACCTCCAACGCAGACGTCTTTTACAAGCCGAACTGATATTTTCCAAACAAAAACTATTAATATACTTTTTCGCTTCATCAGTGGGGACATCCAGCAAAGCATTGCGAAAGGTTAGTTATTTATACAAAACGAAAGGGCTGAACACAACTAGCCTGTACACAGACGTTGTTTTATTTTTCTTTTCGTTCTTTTCGAAAACATTGGAGAGCGAGAACGAGCGCGGAGCGCGAGAAAGAAAAATAAAGAATTTTCTCCTTTCCCACCCCTAACCCCTTCCGCTGGCGGTCAGTAAATCCCCCGCCGTTTTTGTTTTTTATCACGCGCGCTCGACGGACTTTGAATAGAAAACAGAGGATCTGTGAACAGGCTAGAACAAAACGAAACATATTAAAGGTTTTTATTGCGGTATCATGCAGGCAGGGAGCATAAGTTTGATGTTAAACATACCAGTTATAGAGCGACAGATATACTAAAGCGAATATAAGTCCTACTTAGACCGCGGTCTAGAACATTTAGTGGACCTTCAGATCTTCTCAAGTGTAGTAGGGACACCCAACGACTGTCTTCTGTTAGAATATTAAGCACAATCATTTTTTTTTCTGGAAATTTCTATAGATAGCTCGGGAAACTGGGTTAAATTAACTGTTCTACAATTTTCTGAAATCGGGAGGTTTAGTCATCACTTCTTAAAAAAGGCCGGACTTCTAAAATTTTTGCCTTTGGAAACAGTAACGGAAAGGGGTATCGCAAAATGGTTAGTTTCCAGTAAAAAATTAAAATTTAAAGCATCAAAGATTTTGGGACGCCCTAGGATGACGCGAACAGATTAAAAGTTTACAGAGCTTTCTAGAACGCATTTGCAAAGCTTTGAAAACAATCTAAAAAGATATCCTAAAATGGTTTTTGAAGAATATTGTAGAAAGCCGGCGATGGGTATAACAGATATCTGATCTTTAAGAACTGAATAAACCTAAGTTCTATACTTTTTCCCTTCCTCCCTATCCCCTACCCCGTACCCCTTTCGACGCCTGCTACGCAGGCTAACGTTTTAGCTATAGGACAGTCGGAAGTGGCCACGAGATCTTTCACATGATTCGGATGTAGGTTGTTTCAAGTAGCGTGTGTTTCTCTCCTCCTCACTATATATGCCGACATTGATATATTCTAGTGCAACGAAAAATATTTAAATACAAGGATTGTGCCGAGCCATGCAACGTGGGCCGTCTTCATATTTTCGTGAAAAATTTCAGCTCCGTTAACCGAGTGAAATTGTTCAGGCACGTTTGAACGAAAGCAGACTCGGAAAAATGACTACGATTTTTTTGCTATTAAGCTTTGAAAGTTCTTTTGACAGTAACTTCATTTAAGATCGCATGCATGCAACAATTCGTCCCTTCAGGCATCTCCTCATCAAAAAGTGGGCCTACAGGGTAACAATCACTGGTGTCTGGGTTTTAACTGTAGTGTTATCAACCGCCACTTTTATAATCAGACAACGATATGGAGAATGGTTATACAGTTATGACGTATGGCAGTCATTCACTTGTTGAGTCAATCGGTTATCTAGTTTGTTTCTTACTCCTCCATTGTTCTAAAATTTCTGTGTGGAGCGGTGAAATAATTATTGTATGTGTCGATCAAAAAGTATAGGGCCGATTTGTTTTTTGGGCTGATTGACGAACAAAGTCCTAATTAAAAAAATATGGGGGTAGACATACTAAGCGGAAGATGATAAGCAAAGGAAATTATTCAAGGTTAGCTCACTCTTTAGTGCAAAATTTCCATATTTAAAACAGTCATGTGCAGATAATTTAAGACCGGAAGATTATTCTTCGCCGGAGTAACACTGTCCAACGCAGATGCCTTTTACAAGCCTAACTGATGATTAATTTTTCAAATATAGATGCATATTTTTCCCATCGCTTTATCAGAGTAGACATCCAGCAAAGCATTTTGTGAAAGGTTAGTTATTTAAAAGAAGAAAAACAAATAGTTTTAACTTTGGTATCATACAATTGAGTATTTCTTTAAGAACAGGATATTTGTATGACCTAAGTCCTGCTTAGACCACTAGTGCAAACATTCAGAGGACCTTCAGATCTTTTCATGTGGTAGAGGCACACAAAGACTTTTTTCTGTAGAATATCTGTTCAACGAAACTCAATATTGTCTGTAGATTCCTATAGCTCGAGATAGGTTTAAAATTCTTAGATGAATGTTCCATTGTTTGTCTCAGTTTCTGGAATTCAGTCTGTTAATGTTTCTACGATTAACTGAATTTCGGTTTTTACCTTTCTTTTCCCAGGTTTAGTCATCATTCGTAAACTTGAAGGACTACCGGAATTTTTGGCTTTCTGAAACAATAACGGAAAGAGGTATTCGGAAAAAGATAAGCTTAGAACGCGCGCATTTTCAGAGCTATAAGAGCACTCTTACTAACTGAAGTATTTGGAAAGAACTTTTATATATCTAAAGCTCGTTAAAACGAGCACATTTTGCAAGTCCCTTAGCCCACTGTTATATCTAGCTTCCACTGTATATTGCCTTATAAGCTGCTGTCGAGCTCACTATAGACGTCAGACCTAATTTCCTTCGTTAAGTCGTAAGGTTTTATTAATTTGGCGGAAGAACTTGTTGCGACCCGTATTGGAGTTACAAGACAAAAAACATTGAAGATTGAGTTTTAAAATAAATGGTGGCCAATTCATTTGACACGAGCTACGTCACATAAAAAATATATGTATAGAGCTAACATGACAAGACGTTCGGTTGACTTTGAAATTGGTAGAAGATAACTGACAATGCAATCGACTTTTTCCATTCACGCTATAGATAATTGATTGTCTTAAAAGGGTTAGCTGAAATGGTCAGTCATTCTTATATTCAGGTGAACAAGCGCCGGCGTCAGTTAGTTAATTATTCACCTGAAAACTATATATCAAACATTTATATTATCGCCCTCAGTTTTTAGTCAACTGATTGTAATGTCCCCTCACACGCCTTTGATATTTTCTTCCACAGGACAAAGCAACTAACCAACCAACCGAAAAACTTTTAGTTAAGGTGAGCATTTTTGCATACTTTTATCAGACAATTACAGATCAAATAATGTTTTAACGGAACTTTAATCATATACAAGTTAAAAAAATACAATTTAAAGAAACGGTTCGTGTTTGTTTAGTGCTCGAATGATAGACCGCGCGGCGATATAATCATTGCGAGTGCCGATCAAGTAGGGTCCATTTAATGTGGGCTGATTGAAAGAGAAAGTTGAATTTAACAACTGAAAGTTTAATTCAGAACCTTTTTTTAAGGCGGTACGTATATTAAGCGGTAAAAAGAAGGCAATTATTTAAGTATTTTATCTTAAGTGCGATATTTCCAAAAACAGGTGTTCAGATAATTTAAGACCTTATTAATCGAGCCGGACGTTATTCTTCGCCGTAGTAACATCCAACGCAGAAGCCTTTTAAAAGCCTAATTGATATTTTGCAAACTCGTTTTCCGCTTCGTCAGTGGAGGCATCTAGCAAAGAATTTTGTGAAAGTTTGGTTACACATAAGAAGAAAAGGAAATGCAAGTCTATCATAGAGTTGAGCATTTATATAAGAACCGCATATTTTTAAACCTAAGTCCTCACTGTTTAGGTCATTCATAGGACTTTTGGAGCTTTTCAAACATGTGGTAGGGACCGGTGCAACGGTTGAATTTTTTCTGTAGAAAAGCTATTCGAAGAGGCAAAGAATTGTCTGGAAATTTCTATAGCTCGAGAAAGAAAATTCTAGATAAAAAATTTTCATTCGCCTCAGTTTTTTGAAGCTTTAAGTTCATTAAATTTTCTATGATTTTCTGATGTTGGAGTTTTGACCTTTAACTTCCCAGGTTTAGTCATCATTCGCAAAAAAGGACAACTAAAATTTCCCCTTTGGAAGAAACTGTAACGGAAAGGGGTATCGGAAAATGTTGAGTTTTCAGTAAACTATACAAAAGTATCAAAGATTTTTAGAACAGTAATAAAAAGGAGGTATTAAATTCGCATAGACTCAGGGGCGGATCCAGGATTTTTTTTAGGAGGGGGTGCACTCGTCTCTTGCTCTACGTCAACACCAATAAACCAAATAGTTTTTTTTTGCAGAATACCAGTTGTATTATTGTATTATTAATTTTATAGTGCCTCTTAGAAAGCATTTGCAAAGCTTTAAAAAAATCTAAAAAGATATCCTAAAATCATTATAATAGGATTTTTGAGAAGGCTGGCTTTGTGTATGGTGGGTTGTTTCAAGCAGCGCCATGTTTCTCTCGCTCCTCACTATATATGCCTACACATAAATGCTCGCAATGTTTAAATAAAGGGATTAGCCGAGCTGAAAGTTACTTAGGCTCTCTTCATTTTTTCATATGAGAAATTTCAGTTCCGTTAACCGAGTGAGATTGCGCAACTTTTGCATTTGGGAAAAGAAAGCCTTTTGGACTGAGTTGTGTCTATAACTGCGATGATCTTCTTTCATGCATATAATTGTTTCAGTGTATAGTTCGCATCAACGTAGAAAAACTATGATATTTTCTTATCAGTAGCTCTCAAAGTTCCTTGACAATTCCCTTTTCAAAATCAAGAGTTCCCTTTTTATGATAACCTTCATAGCCTACAAAACAGGAAAACACCATTAAACTTCCTTTGTTTCAGCAGAGACGCATGCAGAATAAAAACTAATTTTAACCGTTTGTCGCAACAACCGATACTGTCGATCAGCGTCCTAATGTATCTCTATTAGCGATCTTTGCGGAACTAACATCAACCCTCTTTGTCCACGTTCTCAACTGAAATTTTTTTTTCAAGTTCTTCTGAAAGGTATAGACAAGCAACAGAGAGAAACAGGGAATTAAAAGTGTGAAGCGAAAAAATAGCAAGCCATGATATCATCCCAGTGCATCACCTGGTTCGCTGTAGTCCTTACCATGTCTGTTGCTATAAGTAACATTGAACCTTACCTATCAATCGTTCTTTTTATCAAAAAAACGCAGTCTTCCCACTCGTGCCAAATTGTACCTAGTCATAAAGCTGACCTTAGTTGATATGTTTGTCGGAGGATTTTCTCACTCTTCTACGTATACCCTACTAAATGCGACATTGTGAAATTTCCGCACTTTACCCTGGAACTGACATTAACAACTGGCTCTCTCTTCGTCTGGTTTCCTCTGACCTCTCTTACAAACATTGTAATGATTTCATTGGAACAGATGCATGCAACAATTCGTCCCTATACAGCTCTTTTGCATCGCCTCATTAAAAAGTGTGAGTCTACGGGGTAACAATTGCTGCTTTTGTCTGGGTTTTACCTGCAATGTTTATTACACTAATCCTTAAGAATCGAATGTTTAACCAAATTCCTATATTTAGCACATCTTGTGGACCTTCAGTCTTTTCATGTGGTAGCTTGAGGCACCCAACGACTGGTTTCTGTGAAATAGCTGTTCGAAGAAGCACATATTATCTAGAGATTTCTATAGCTCGAAAAAGTTAAAAATTCATGGATGAATGTATCATTCATCTCAGTTTTTCGAAGTTTTCAGTCTATTAACTTCTCTGATTGAAGTTGGGAATGGCTTTTCACTTTTCACTTGTCTTCCCATATTTGGACATCATTCTCAAAAATGGACTACTTATAATAAATTTTGGGCTTTAAAATCAGTAACGGAAAGATGTATATCGGAAAATGTTGAGTTTTCTGTATATTAAATAGCATCAAAGATTTTCGAAGAAGAACTAGCGTGTTAATAAATTCGCATCGGCTGAAGAAGCCCAGGGATGACCAAACAGATACAAATTTTATAGAGTTTCATAGAACGCATTTTCAGAGCTGCTTTTTAAAACAACAATCTTAAAGATATCGTCAAATGGTTTGAGTAAATTTTGGAGAGAGGCGGCGTCGGATATGGTGGGCGGGTTGTAGAGCGATGTTTCTCTCCTCCTCACTATAATATATACTTACCTAAAAATACTTGCAATGGAAAATGTTAAAATACAAGGTTTGTCTGAGCTAAGCTGCGACTTAAGGCCCTCTTCAGTCATATTTTCATGAGAAATTTCAGCTCCTTTAACCGAGTGAAATTGTTAACGAAGAGTATGCATGAAACATCTAATTTTTTCCGGTCTCAATATGGACATTCGATTGTTTTAGAAGGTTTAATTGAAGTGATATGAGGGATAGTCACAGTTTCATTTTGGTGATCAATTACTCCCTACATACCAAACAGACCTTCAATATTTTTAAAGAGCGAAATAAAAATGTTAAAAAAGTATTAATGTAATAGATTCAAATACAATTTTAGCCACAGTTAGATTATTGTTAGTTAACTAGTTAGTTAGTAGTACCCTTTGCATTTTACCGCGAACATTTTTTGCTCCTGATGTAATAACATATGTTTAGCTGCATATATCTAGCCGGATTTTTGAAAACGTTATCGTCAAATGGACCTTTCCGTCCAACAATTTTTTTCGGCCAAAAACTATATCCAAAGTAGCTCATTATAAAAACTAAGAGTGCAACCATTGCTTTTTTTCTTCTCTTCCTTTCCTGATCTCCTCCGTCGCTCTTTCTTATTCTCCTTTCCTTTTCCTTCGTTACTGTGATTTTGGAGCCGTTCTCGGGCTTAAGAAACCTGCCTTTTGACGCCTTTTCAGTCAAATGACTGCAAATTTCGTTAGGTTGGTTTTCCAAAAATCAGTTAGATATGCTAAAAAATTTATTTTATCAGCAGATGTAGAGCCATTTTCTTTGGAAATGTTGAAATAAACCACCGCCATTATAATAATAATTATTATTATTATTATACTCAGGTGAACGAGTGCGGACGTTAATTAGTTTTAAAAAATATCCCTTAGCTTTTAGTCAACCAATTTATCCTAATCTCCCCTCAAACGTCACTGCTTTTTTCCACAGGTGAAAACAAGGGTTTTCACTTCATCTTTTGTGAAGGCAATAAAAAAACTGTAAGTCAAAGGTGAGCTTCCTAATTTGTCGAATTATTATTCATGTATCTTCATTACTGATCTTTGAAAAACAGACGTCAACCTTGGTTGTTCACCTCCTACTTTTCTTTTCTAATTAACCAAACTTTATTCAATTCAAATTCTTTCTAAAGGTAGACGAACAACAGAAGAGAACGGGCAGAAGTGTCAAACGAGAAGAAGTAAAAGAAAACAAGTCATGTTATTTTCTTCATCCGAGTGCATCACCTGGTTTGCTGTAAACCTTACCGTGTGTGTTGCTATAGTAACAGTGAACCTTCTATCAATCATTGTTTTTATAAAAAAACGCAGTCTTCGAACTCGTGCCATGTACCTAGTTATAAACCTGACAGTAGCTGATATGTTTGTCGGAGGATTTTCAAACTTTTCTTTATTTCGATTCCTCTCACTATACTCATGCGACATTGTGAAAATGAACTTAAGCCAGGAACTGATTGTGATAATTGACTTTCTCTTCGTCTGGTTTCCTCTGACCTCTCTAACAACCATTGCAGCGGTTTCATTGGATCGGATGCATGCAACAATTCGTCCCTTCAGGCATCGCCTCATCAAAAAGTGGGTCTACGGGGTAACAATTACTGGTGTCTGGGTTTTAGCTGCAATGGTATCAACTGCCTGTATAATACTTCGACACTATGGGGAAGAATGGTCACATCATCTTTACTTATTGGAATCATTCCATTGTTTGTGTCTATTTGTTATCTGTGTTTCTTACTCTTCTATTGTTGTTAAATTTTTGTGTGGAGCGCATCCCCAGCACCATGGTGCAGCCAACAGACAAAGGAAACTGACCGTAACATTATTCATAATGACTATCCTATCCTTACTGCTGTGGCTACCATATGCGGTTTTTGTTTTTGTTTCTTAGCAATCTAGTATTAAGAAATTCCCTTCTGTCCAGGAATTAGTACGTTTTGATTTTTCTTTAAGCATTCTGTATTTTATGAACTCGCTTGTTAATCCCATCGTTTACACAATCAGAATGCCAGAGTTCAGGAAAGCTCTCCTGCTGTTATTTAAACGTCAACGAAGACAAAATGCCCGAGATATTCCTCTTCGTGCGCTTTAATGTACTTTGTTTAACACTTGGAAGCCAACTAATGTTTTCGTCATCTTCATTAAAAAAAACAGTAGTTGATTATATACTATTATTGCGGCCTTTAAAGTTCGATAAAAAGGTCGCAAATAAATGTTGTGGTGCAATTTTTTCCTTGGTTCAAATGCTTTTTTCCTTTGTTTAAACTCTGATTCTCAATCGTACATAACCATACCTTAACACAAAGGAAAACAAAATCTAAACCATTGATGAGTTGAACCACGGTATTTCGTCCAATACGCACTACAACTAAATATAGAGCCGGTTAGTAGTCTCGTTTATCTGTTCGGTACGTTTAGTATGCTTCCAAAATGAAAAGATATCATTTACATTTCCTTGTTTAGAGTTAGTCATTATGATTGTGGTCGCAAAACATGAAATATATCCATTATGTACATTAAGAGCAGAAGTTGTTTATAGTTCTTAATTTGTTATTTCACAACGCGATATCTACTTTAATAATGCGCCTTGTTTTGAAGGTACTTCTTTTAGTAAAAGAGACTTTAATAAAGTTGCTATTTATATAAACTGGATTTCTTTACGTTCTTATCTGTGTCTGGAATATCACAAGGAATGGGCCGGGGAAACGCTGCAATAGGAAAAGCACACTTCAGTGTCCTAAAGATGGGAAAAGTCAGAAGATTGTTACAAGTGTCTTCTTTTTTCACGCCAATTTTAGGAGAGGATTATAAGAATGTTGTTTTTCCTCGTTGTGTGGTTAAGGACATTTGCGTACAGCTTGCCAGATACATTCATGACTCTTTCTGCCACTATTAGTGAACATTTCCGGGTCTTTTTTTGAGAGATAATATATAGCCAAATCTGGGAAGGGAATTAAGTCAATTGAAAAACTTCCGAAAATTAAAGATGAATGAAGAATCATAAAAACTATTTAGCCTTTCTCGAGAAATAGAAATTTGTAAACAAGAGTTTCGCTTCTTCAAACACATATTTTACATCAGAAAACTTTCTCCAGATAAATGAGGATGGAGACATATCAAATAGTCTGGATTGAATATTGTCATCACTGGAAACTAAATCCAGTAAATCCATCTTGTCAGTTTGTGTCCTTAAACTGCGCCATGAATTCTTGGTGAAAGGTTCTTAGTCGCTGAAACATTGGAGCGAACGTCTCTTCAGAAGGAAGAATAGTGATCCTACCAAGAAAGATTAAAACATGAAACCGTTTTAAGTTATTTCCCTCGTATGGATAGTGGGTCTGAAAAATCAAAACGTTTTGGATTGGTTTAACCCATAATGTGGAGATAAAACTTGGTAGAATTTCATCAGACTTTCACACACCGACAGAACGTCGCTTTTACAGACAAGTCGTTTATAGGACGAATTTTCCCACGTAAGTTCAAGCTCTGGTCCATACCGTATAATCCCGGTTGTAAGCCCTTCTATTTGTAAACACCAACTTTATCCCAGTTGCAGGCCCTCCACTAAGCCCCCATCACCCCGGCTATGGGCCGATCTGTGTATACCCTTATTGCGTTCGTCAGAACGCATCCTAATTTGGTGTTCCTGTGGTACAAAGGCAGAATTTTGGGGGTTTGGGGGGAAAGAGGCGTCTTTTCCAATTTAAAGGTGCAGTCAATCTAATCAATCTAAATATATAAGACAAGCCTGCGAAAATCTTGTGATACAAGGGCGCAAATGATATCACAGAGAGGTTTTTAAAATCATCAAAATTCCGACCTGAAGTTGATGGCCCTTGTTAATTCAAATCTTACCTGTAGTAACAGTTGTTACCGCTGCCTTTCATATCAAAAACGTGGCCAGGAATCATGTAAATTCCAGTTTTCGATCCCCAGCGCCTGCCAACAGTAAAACTCGTCTGGTGGCATTTCCTTGGCCTAAATAACAATGGCAATACAAACAACTCAATAAACTCAAAAAAAAACTACACATTACTTTTGTCCACCCAAAATCCTTTCACTTTTGCTCACCAAACAGACCACATACATAGAGGGGAATATCTGTATTTCAAAGAATCCCTCGATAAAGCCTTTACTGGGAGCTGTTATTAGATCGATACGACATATATGGAATTTAGCAATAAATGAAACATGGAAAGTTGAGAAAGTGAAATTTTAACTTTCGCAGGACATTGTCAGCAGCCTGAATAAGATGGGAGCCTATAGCGTCCTTTTCACTTTTTCTAACCGAAGAATGCCTTTTTTGAAAACTGACACGGCGAGAAACGGGTTGGCATTCTTCTAATATAAGGTGCATCAACGAGAATCTTGGCTTCTGGATCGCACTTTGTAGATTCCGGATTTTATGCTGTAGATCCCGGATGGCGGGTACTGGATTCAGTATTCCTTGTCCATGAAACGTGGATTCCAGATTCCAATCGTTAGCGAGATTTCGGGCTTCATATATAGAGCAGGCCCAGCTGTTCAAAAGCTGGATAACGCCATCCACCGGATAAATCTCTATCCAGTGGATATTGCAATTGGTTTCGCTCATACCTATCCACTGGATAGTGAATTTATCCGGTGGATAGAGCTATGCATCTTATGAACAACCGGGTCTGAAATCCGAATTTCAAACCCCAGAACTGATTCCGGATCAGTCTACAAGAAAAAAATTCCCGGGTTCCGGAATCTGGATTACCGTACACCTAGGATATCCATTACTAACAGTATTCTGCAGTGTGGCCTAGAAATCAGGGCCGGAAACAGGACATGATACCTTGGCTGCCTCGATAGCTTGCTTTGGAAGTGTTATCCTCGGAAACGCATACATTGCACCTGCCACCTCGTTACACTTAACATTTTCCATTGAGTTAAGAACCTCCCTTGTCATCTTTGCTTTCTTCCTGTAAGAATTCTTGATGGATGTCATTTCCAGTAATCCGGATAAAACACAAAATAATGCATTAGGCAAGATATGGGAATACTGGAGGTAATCACCTCTATAGAATTTCTTTAATGCTTCGCAATTAAAGATCATTTCCTATACATTTATGACAAGATTGCCAAATGTTCCGGAAGAAAACAGAAATTTTTGTTTACACGACCTAGTCCCTTAGCGACTCCAGCGCTTGGCAAACTTTACTTGCGAAAGACTCGAATCTCACGTTTTTTGGGGGGGCAAAAGAATCAGTGAAAACCTACCCTGGGTGCCAGAGACTTTTCATGCACGGATTCCGGATCTTTGTCGCTACTCGTGCCTTCGGCGTTGGGCCGAAGGATCCCGCCACCCGCGAGAAAAAAAACCTCTGGTACCGACGGTACTTTATTTGGCTATCTCAGGTAAATTAAGGCATGGGCCTCAATTTGCCTTAATTTGCTCTCTTCAAAAGTGAGGGGGTGGTCTGTATCTAAGAGCTTTAGATGAAGAGACATAAAACTTTGCCAGCTACCCACATTTTTAGTTTGTGTCAATTTCGTGCTTTAAAATTATGCTAACTAGGTCACGTAACCTCCATCTGCTGAAAAAGCTTGTTCTTGAAACGGCAACACTTTTTCGTGTGTCCTCAATTATTTTACCGGTTGCATAATGTTAAGACCTTTTAATATATCACTTCTGTGCTTGGCCTTTTTCAGATATTTAAAATCGACGGCGTTAAGATGGGATACAATTGCTTTGGGGGACTGGGACTAGTTGAAAAAGCCGTTCAATTTCTAAAACAGTAAAAGATTAAAAAAAGGCCAAGCACAGTTTTGTAGATGCTTGCATTACACATTGTCCTAAACCAGTCCGGTTTAATGACTCAGAACAAAAAAGTGTTGCCTTTTTTCTTTAAAAACTTTTTATTGTTTGTTGGCCGTGTAGAGTCACGTGACAACATTTGCATAACTGAAAATCACCTTATTGACAGAAACCACACATGTATGTATCTGGCAAAGTCTCATCTTTTTACTGCTTAAGTGTTCAGAGATAGACCTCCCCCATCACTTTTTGACTGAATCATTGGGGACCCATGCCTTAATTTACCTGAGATAAAATGGCACGTATTCAGGAGAAGTCAAGGTGACTAATAAGTATTGTATACTTCATTGCGTTTATCATGCATCATGAAAGGTTAGCATCAGGTAACATCGGCTGAAGTCAGATTGTTTCTTTCAGTAAAATTACATGAAGAACAACTTAAGTCCAATTTTACTGTATAATATTAAAGTGAGATAGAAAAACCCCACTGTGATGCTTTGAACCCGGGTCACTTGCTTTATAGCCTACATCCATATCCACTACACCATCGAGGACTAGCTGCCAAATCCAGTAATTTTTAAAATATACATGTTCTTATATACGCCGTACCGTACCCCATTATAATATTTGAAAGCTAACCGTTTTCAGTTCAGTGCTTAACCCTAATCACCGCAGATCAGTGCTTAACTCTCTACTGTTTTCTCTCCATAACTGGCGCTCTGTAGTTTTGGTTTTTTTCAGCTATTCTAGCCTCATTCTGCATCCCAGTCTCGTTCCATTATGGAAATAATGCGTTGTGTAAAATTCACAAGGTGTCCAATCTGGCTTCACTCGATGTTATCTAACGCCAAATTGTTAAGACCTGGAACCATGTTACAACCCGAGCACTAGAGACATGCTGAAAAAAAAAAGGAAGGTTCTAATTATCCCGATGGGATTCATGCAAAATATTGAAATAAAAAAACTAAGAGGAATACATTTTGGCGCGCAAATAATGGCGGCGCCCGCGAGGGAGGAACGCATTCACATTGCTTATCTCGCCGCCAGTCCCTACGCGGGCCAAAGGATCACAGTGCACTACCGCTCTCTAGTTGCTATCTTGCATTTCTGTTTCACTTGGCATACTTTTATCCAACAAATTCAGGAAAAAAAATGTTTTAACGGAGCTGTTGGGATGAAATTAATGATACTAATAATCTGAAACTGCATCGATACCTAACGAAACAGCTCGTGTCTTAGTTTGCCTGTTGTGCTTGAATGATGCACGGAGGCGAAATAATCATTGTATGCGAGGATCCAATAGGGTTGATTTGTTCTGGGTTTATCGAAAAAGGAAGTTCAAATTAACAAAAAGCCTAATTCAGCAGCAACTTTTTACTTATTTAGTGGGGGTAGATGTATATTAGGGGGTAAAAAATGATGGCCAAGGAAATTATTCAAGGTAAACTGAAGCTTAAATTAATAGTAGAATATTATTTCCCAAAAGGATGTACAGATAATTTAAGTCCGTATTTATCGAGCCAGAAGAGTATTTTTTCCCGGAGTAACATTCAACGCAGATTGTTCTGTCGTGAATTGTAATAATGTCGTGAACTGTAATACCTGTCGTAAATTGTAATAACAGTCGTCGTAAATCGCAATATCTGTCGTAAATTGTAATAACAGGGTGAAACAGCTGTTTATGGCTACCATCCCGCACTGTTTTGAGTTCTTTCGGTGTCGTGTTGTAATAACCAAGCTATCGTAAATTGTAATAACACGTTGTCGTAAATTGTAATAAGCCGAGCTCTCGTGAATTGTAATAACACATTGTCATGTTTTTAAATGAGTCTTGAAAATGAACAACAACTGACTAAGCGTGACTCCTTTAGATATAAACCAGAATTGTTCTGTTAAGTTATGACACCGGGAATCCCACAATGCAGCTCATCATGAGCCACTCATTGCTCAATAGGCCACTTCCAAGTTCCAAAAACAGTAACTTTCAAAACGAGGCTAAGAGCAAAACCTTTTTGTGATAATGAGTTTCTTCTTCATCAGAATAAAAAAGCATTTTCATATCACTTGCTTTGCACTTAGCCTTGCTTTGAAACAGAGGCTTGGGGAAACTTGGAAATGGCCTAGCCACTCAACCGTGACAGGGTGGCAAGAGTTTCTTTTTCCCATAAAATTTCAACACTATGCTAGTCGTTTACTTCTTTTTGTTGACTTTTTGAGGTACGAGTTCAGTAATAAATTCTCGTTCACTAACTGGATGTATCTTTTGGTCTCTTTTCCCGATGAATAAATCAGCGTTGTGTTTACTTTCTCGAACAACCCGAATTAAACTCACTACAGATACAGCTAATTATTGAGTCGCGCAAAATACACAAATGATACACAAGACGAACGGACACTTTGTTTGACACAAAAACTCTAACACGTCTTAACAGCTCTAATAGTTCAATCCATCGAATTGATTCCATCCCTAGTCTAAGCAAAGTTTAAGTTACAAAAGGTTACACTGTAATCCATCGCGTTTTCAAGTTTCTTTTCTTTATTTTTACGCAAGGAATTTGGTGAGCCTGGGCAACATATCACGGTGGCGCCTTACTCTTGGCTATATTCTCTAGTCTTGTTTTAATACTTGTTTTAATAGAAAAGGCGACATGCGGCGGGGAGAGACGCCTTTACTCGCGTGGGGTGATTTTCACGCCCGCTCGCGTTTCGCGTGCTCTACTATCCCTGAGGAAAAATGGGAGACTACTCGTAGTAAGTTGGTTGGTTGACTGTTTCCAATACGTTTATTAGGTGGTCAGTGGGATGATTAACTTGTTGCCATAATGCTGGCTAAACAATAGCTTAAATGTTTTTGATTGAAAAGAACATTTCCGTAGATAAGCCCTTGACATTAAGAACTATTAGGGACGGACCATTAGAAAAGTTATGGGGGGGGGAATTTTCGAGCAGCAGGAATTTTTTTTTGTTATCAAATTCCTTGTATGAATATTTTTTAGGCCATAGCATGAATATTTTTTAGGATTAATTGGCTTGCATGAATGTTTTTTTCATTTAATTTTCCCTTGCGCGAATATTTTTTTTGTACTTCGCCCGCCCCCCCTCCATAAGTTTTCTAATGGTCCGTCCCTTACAAAATACGACAATGTGTTATAATTACAATTCACGACAGCTAGGCTTATCAGAAATTACGACAACGTGTTATTGCAAATTACGATAGCTTGGTCATTACAATTCTCGACAACTGTTTTTACACTTACGACAGATATTACAATTTACGACGATTGTTATTACAAGTTACGACAGAACACAGACGCCTTTTACGAGCCTAACTGATGATTTTCCAAAGATAGATATATTTATTCCATCGCTTCATCAGTGGAGATATCCAGCAAAGCATTTTGTGAAAGGTTAGTGTCCAGTTATTTAAACGAAGAAAAGCAAAGAAACAAAATGGAACTAGAAGGTTTAACAGGTGAGCATTTCTTTAAGAACCGGTATTTGACTTAAGTCCTACTTAGACCACAGTTCCAGCACATTCAGAGGACCTTCAGATATTTTTATTTGGTAGGGGCATCCTGTAAAATATCTGTTCAAAGAAGCATAGTAGAGGGTCTCGATAGGGTTAACCGTCAGCCGTCAAATGGTGTAAAATTTAACCTTCAGCCGCGTCAAAAAAGGCAAATTTTTTTAATACCGTCAACCGTAAAAAATGCCGAAATTAATATTAACTGTCGAAAGGGTGTAAGGTATTTCAAATCTCACTTAAAAGGCCACTGACCTTCACGACCTTCTTGCTCCTAGAGAATCCTTAAACTGGGAAAACCTGATCCAGTTCTCATGTTCTCAACTCACTCTCTCCAGACATTAAAAAAAAAAGAACTCGCTTGTGTATCTCGTTGCATCCAGGTAGACACACAGTCTTTAAAATAAAATAGTGCAACCCTCATCAAAAAGTTTGCACCAACAGGCAATAGGTCAACGGAGTAACCACTCAATAGCTAGCAAAGCCTAGAGACAAAATAGTCAGTAATTCAGGGTAACTGAATTTCTGAAAGCAAAGTTTAAAATTGTAAACTGTTTGTTGATACATTTAGCTAGGGCCGGGTCAATGCGTTTTTTCCAGTTCCTACTTTATTGTTTTTCTCGCTGGT